GGGTGGGGCGGGGATGGGGTGAGGGGTGCTGTCTCTCAGCGGGACGCCGTGCACGCCTCCAGCGCCGACACTCGCCCGCTGCACTTTCTCGGTGGGAGGGGAGCGAGGAAGGCTCACGTGTAGCCGCGCGGGAGCCTCCTCTGGCCTGAGCCCTTTCCCGGTAAGTCCCAAACCTTCCCCCACGGCCTTGGCTGCAGCGGGACCTGAGGGAGGGGTCGCGCAAGGAGGCGCTGAACCCAGCTGGTGCCGCCAGGGATTTGCGTTTGGGCTGATCCCAGTAGCAAATGCAGACCCTGTGTGGCTCGGAGTGTAAGGTCCAAGAGATCCTTTGGCTGCGAAGAGCTTGGGCGTGCTCGCATCTTCTTGCATCTTCTTTCCTGGCAGGGGCCAACCTGTTGCATTGCACAAGTTGAGGGGTTCCTTCTTGGTCTGCAGAGCACAGCTTTCCACGGAACTCGCCTTTAAGGAGTAGCGCTTGGCAGGGAGGTGCTGCCTGCAGTCTTTTTTGCATCCGTGGGTGTTTTAAGTCAGATTCTCAGGAGATGAGACTGTAGAGGATTAGAATGGATGGCGGTGGAGGCTGTGTTTCTCCGAGGAAGAAACTCAGAAGCCAAATTCCTTAATCCCAGATTCCACCGGCGCCTGAGTACTAGACTTGGCAAAATTCTGAGCGCTGCTTACAGCCCTCCTGGGGGGAGGCAGTGCTTCCAGGTAAAAATTGCTGCACACCTCCATCGTAGGGATGCCAAGGGACCACCTTTTCCATTAGCTGTGCTTTAACAGCTTGTGTACGTGTGTAATTTTTGTGAATCAGGTCATACTTATGTGTTTAGGGGAAGAGGCTGAAAACACTTTGCATTTAAAAAAAAGAAAAATAAAAGAAAACTCCTTTTGTAAAATCCAGTGGAGCCCAGTGGATTTAGAAGCAAAACCTGAGCTTAGGCGGTGTTCTCAGTTGTCTTCTGTGCCAATATGAGGCCTTGGTCAAATTCCTTCCGGCTTAGAGCCTCCGTGTCTTCTTTATAAACGGGGATAATCACGATTTGCAAGTTGGTTCTGAGAGTTTGGGAGTTAAGATATGGAAAGGACCAGGTATGTAGTAGGTGCTCAATACACGGTTTCAAAGAAGGGTGGAGAGTCCCTGCTTTAGCAAAATTAGAGTCACCAACTCCCCGGCTTTCCACGTCCGAACGACTTCATATTGTTACGGTGATGACTTTCCTGGATGCTAAATCATGCCTGGTTATTGCCCTTTTCCTTAAAAATCCCAGCAGTTTTATATAATTGCAGGTGTTCCTTTCCACTGTGGCTTTAAATGATTTGCCTCCTCAAATAATGCCCCAAAGACTGTGCCCTCTTGTTTACGTCCCAGAGCAGTCTGTCTCCCTGACCCAAGGACCAGCGCTTTTTTTCCAAAGTAAATAGGAAGATATTGAAAAACAGGCCAAGATCCATGTCCTGCCTGAACTTTTAACTCTAGATCCACAAAAGCCGGCGGCCAGACAACCCTGTTGTTTGTGACCATAGCTTTGTAGCAGAGGCCGGGAGGGGTGGTGAAAAAGCCGCACGTTTTCTTTGTTAAAGTCCGACTCTCCCCTTTCCCTGCAGCGTTTCATAAAGACAAAGACAAGGACAAGAAGCTGGACGATGAGAGTCACAGCCCGACCATCCCCCAGTCCGCCTTCCTGGGACCCACCTTATGGGACAAAACCCTTCCCTATGACGGAGACACTTTCCAGTTGGAGTACATGGACCTGGAGGAGTTTCTGTCCGAAAACGGCATTCCCCCCAGCCCTCAGCACGACCAAAGCCCGCACCCCCCGGGGCTGCCGCCCGCCTCCTCCGCTGCCCCCTCCGTGGTGGACCTCAGCAGCCGGGCCTCTGCACCCCTTCACCCTGGCATCCCGTCCCCGACCTGTATGCAGAGCCCCATCAGACCAGGTAACCTCTCCGAAGGCTCTCCCTCCTGACTCCAGGCGGGGAGGAGGGCTAAGGGAGGGGCGGGGAGGTGGGGGTAAACTTCTTCATTGGGGGACTTAGCTCGCTCTGAAAGAGGAGCCTCGTACGGGGTGGGGCAAAGCTAGGTGTACAGTTGTTCGTCTGGAAAATGGTACAGGGATGAATAAATGCTAATACAAGAGTAAACCCTGTTTGGCGCGCTCACCACTGTGCACCTGCTTTTGCCCCATGCTGTTCCACCCCCAGCAGCCGTGGTCCCACTCCAGTGAGTGTCTGCATCACCTGGGGAGTCGGCTGAATGCAGACCCACCCTAGAAATGCTGGGTTTTCAGGCCTGGGGTCAGGGCCCAGGAATATGCATTTTAACCAGCTCCCTGGGAGATTGGATGCAGTTGGTCCAAGGACTGCAGTTTAAGAAACACCAACTGACAGGTGGTGATTTGGAGAATTCAGCATCCCTCTCATCTCCTGCCCCTTGTCTGCATCCCCCAACTCCCGGGATACGAGGCTCGTGCTCAGTGATGTGTGGAGACTCTATAAGGCAGTGGTTTACTTACGTCCACCCTTGTCTGGCCTAAAGGGAAAAATGATGTGAGTTAAGGGTGTGGGGCAGAGAGCCTTTTTATCTTTTCATCTCGCGTTGTCACGACTGAGAAATGGACTCCCAGACCCCTCTCCTAGTGAGCGCGACTTAGCCTTTTCCAGCACCAGGCCCCACAGTTCTCTCTTTAGTGTTCCTCTAGAGCAGTGGTTCTCATCCTTCCTAATGCTGCCACCCTTTAATACAGTTCCTCATGTTGTGGTGACCCCCAATTTCATTGTTACAGATTGAACATGATTAAAGCATAGTGATTAATCACAAAAACAATATGTAACTGTATGTGTGTTTTCCGATGGTCTTAGGGGACCCCTGTGAAAGGGTCGTTCGACCCCCAAAGGGGTCGCGACCCACAGGTTGAGAACCGCTGCTCTAAAGCAAGTTGTCCTTACATTTCCTTTTGTCATTTTCCTCTGTCTGAGCTCACTGAATCCACTTTTATCAATGCCTGCAAGGCCGCAAGGTCGGCTGTAAATGGTGTTGAAATATTACAAAAACCATCCCCTGAAATGACCAGGACTTCAAAACCCACTGCTGAGCCCTCTGATACACACACGGGTAGAGGCAGCTGTGGCTCCGTGCCTGTAGCTCCCTGTAGTTCAAAAATGAGCAGGAAGAAAGGCCGTGTTTTGTGCACAGGTAACCAGGAACAAAGATTCAGCCAAATCCATTGTCAGGAAGGCCGCGGAGCCGAGGCCTTCGCTGCAGGGGAGGACAGAAAGCAGGACAATGGGAGATTGTGCTAGAGATCATTCCTGAACCCGGCGTCCTCCATGCGACGCGGGGAGAATTTCTGTGACACACAGAGCAAGTTTAAAATGAAGGACATGCAGCAAAGGAGGAAGAGCGCCCCCCTGCCTTGAAATGTTAGTGTTGGGGTTAAAGTTCTCCCATTCATAGCTCTCTGTGCTGGCCCCCTCCTCCAAAACCTACTTTGAATGATAACCCACAGCTACTGGCTGGCATGGAATTCAGTCTTAACCTCTGACCACCCAGGAGGCTGCGGAAGCTCGGGAAAACACTCTTTTATGTGACCCCGAGCCCCTGGTACTAAGAGCGTACAATGCCACTGTCTTCAACTTCTTCCCGGGGACAGACAAGCAGCAAAACAAACCACCATTCAGAGTGGCACAAAACCAGGGAGAAGAGGGCAGAGCCCCAGTGGGAAGGCACCATTGTGCCTCAGGCTTTCTGCTCTGAGGAATGGGACGTGCCACTTCGTAGCCCTGTGGCCATTCACAGGGACAGCCTCTCGGAGCCTGTTTCCCTTTGTGTAGAATGACAGAACGTCTAGTTCAGTGGTCAGCAAACTCATTAGTCAACAGAGCCAAATATCAACAGTACAACGATTGAAATTTCTTTTGAGAGCCAAATTTTTTAAACTTAAACTATACAGGTAGGTACATTGTTATTAACTTAATTAGGGTACTCCTAAGGCTTAGGAAGAGCCACACTCAAGGGGCAAAAGAGACAAATGTGGCTCGCGAGCCACAGTTTGCCAACCATGGGTCTAGTTGATTGAGCTGTTGTGAAAAGTGGAGGTAAGGTACATAAAAGGTGTGGTGACTGGCATAAATGTTCTGCTCACGAGAGCAGCGATGGCCGTTGTCATATGTGTGTCAACTTTTATCATTTAGTTCGATCCCTGTCTTCTGAAATGCCTTCTTAGAGTAATGAGGTACAGTATGCAGCTACTTCGTCTAGGGAGAACTATCAGGAGGTGTGGACCAATCGTTATTGGAGTGGGGTGCTTGAACCCTACCACTTACAATCAACCCTCTGCCAAATACCATGTTAGAAATACTGTATGTTTTCCCAGGAGGTCTGCAAATATTGGGCCCCACACCTTGGTTCATTAGGATCCGTGTTCATCAATGACTCAGGAAGCCGAGGTGCCCCAGTCCGATTCGCAGCCCATAGCTAGGACTCCTGGTTTCAGCGCTGTCACTGGTTACGTTGTGGGGGGAGGAGAGGCACTAGGACCAAAGGGGTCCCTGGGGTCTATACACAAACTCTTCGTTGACAGGTCTTTCTTTTGATCATGGAAACACACTTCAAAATAATCTCCTTCTTTGAATTGAAAACACAATGATATTCCTAACAAAAAAGGGAAAACATTAAAGCTCTTCTTCAGATACCAAATGCAGATGAAATGCCCTCTGCTATAGATCCTTACAAAGATCATGATACAAACTAGAGCTCTCAGGGGGGTGGGCCTGATGCAGGGCTCCTCATGAGCAAACTGACAAAGGAGAGCGTGCTCCATTGTCCTGTGTCATCACAGTGGTGACCAGGATGGAAATGCCAGGTGAATCTTGAGGAAAACAAATCCTCAGAAGGGAAGGGCACAGAGGTAGCCTGGAGCATTCTGGGAATTGTGTAATCTCAGTCTAGAGCAGGACTTCCCCCCCCTTGGCCATGCTGCTGTTGCAGGTAAGTCTTCGTTGTGGGGAACTGTCCTGTGCATTGTAGGAAATTTAACAGCACACACACACATTCACACACACACACACACACTCACACACACACACTCACACACTCACACACTCTCACACACTCACACTCACAAACACACACACACACTCACAAACACACTCACACACACACTCATACACTTATCCACACACACTTATTCACACACACTCATCCATCCATACACACACACTCACTTATTCTCACACATACTCTCACACTCGCACATACACTCTCACACACACACACACTTAGATACTTCTCCACACACACTCACTTATTCACACATACTTATCCACACATACACACTCTCTCACACACTCACACACACACACACACACACACACACACACACACACACACACTTCAGCTGTGACAAGTGAAAATGAATCCAGTTGCTGCCAGGTGTCCCCTGGAGGCAAAATCACCCCTGTTGAGAACTGATGTAGACTTTCCATGTGGACAGCAACCTGGGGCCTGAATTCGGACCCTGTCACACACGTGGATGCTTTTGACCTCCTGTAATGCTCTGTGGCCAAACTCTCGAGAATGTCAGGAGACATTAGGTTTCAAGAAGAAATGTAATGTTAATAGAGCACAGGTGTACACTTTTAGTTTATAAAAGCATGGCATCGGTGAACCAGGAGACATTTTCAGAGCCGTTTTGTTAAACATTCGTTTTTTGCTGTTGCATCTTCCGAGTTATGCTGGGGAGCACGTGTCATTAGGGCTCTCCGTGTGGCGGAAAGGAAACGAGGCCAGGAGGTAGCACATGGGGCATTTCTAGGTCTGCCCAAAGCATGTCTTGGAATGACAAGGTGAGCGTTCCTGTGAATTCTCATACTATCGACCGTGACTGTCCCCCACCCCCTTTCCTATTTGGCACACCCGTCCTTATTCCTCTGTCTAGCTCTCTGATCAAGAAATGAGTCAAGTGTCTGGAGAAATATACTTTGCCTTGAAGAAATAACCCAGGGACCCTGCACCCTCCTGTGGCTCTGGAGTGCCGTGTGAACCTGGGTTCACAGCTTCCTGGGCTGACATCCTAATGAAAGAAGAGGAGTCACACACACACACACACACTCACACACACACACTCACACACTCACACACTCTCACACACTCACACTCACAAACACACACACACACTCACAAACACACTCACACACACACTCATACACTTATCCACACACACTTATTCACACACACTCATCCATCCATACACACACACTCACTTATTCTCACACATACTCTCACACTCGCACATACACTCTCACACACACACACACTTAGATACTTCTCCACACACACTCACTTATTCACACATACTTATCCACACATACACACTCTCTCACACACTCACACACACACACACACACACACACACACACACACACACACTTCAGCTGTGACAAGTGAAAATGAATCCAGTTGCTGCCAGGTGTCCCCTGGAGGCAAAATCACCCCTGTTGAGAACTGATGTAGACTTTCCATGTGGACAGCAACCTGGGGCCTGAATTCGGACCCTGTCACACACGTGGATGCTTTTGACCTCCTGTAATGCTCTGTGGCCAAACTCTCGAGAATGTCAGGAGACATTAGGTTTCAAGAAGAAATGTAATGTTAATAGAGCACAGGTGTACACTTTTAGTTTATAAAAGCATGGCATCGGTGAACCAGGAGACATTTTCAGAGCCGTTTTGTTAAACATTCGTTTTTTGCTGTTGCATCTTCCGAGTTATGCTGGGGAGCACGTGTCATTAGGGCTCTCCGTGTGGCGGAAAGGAAACGAGGCCAGGAGGTAGCACATGGGGCATTTCTAGGTCTGCCCAAAGCATGTCTTGGAATGACAAGGTGAGCGTTCCTGTGAATTCTCATACTATCGACCGTGACTGTCCCCCACCCCCTTTCC